ATCAATAACGGATCGGTGCGTCCCGAAAAATAGCCCAACAGTTACTTCCAGATCTTGTATATACGGATGCCTTGAACATGCGGCACACGTGGTTGAAATGAAGAATGTTTAAGTGGATTTAAAGTGTTTGTTGCACAACTGTAACATACACTACCCCAGGAATATATGCTTTCCAGGCTCTTTTTCCAGATTCTTTTCTCCACATATTTTTAGGGCCTAAGTCTGTGTTCAGAGCCACTGAATTTAGTTTCAGTACAAGTTAACCTCAAGTTGCACAAGTTTTAACCTCTTGCTTTTTGTGAGAATGATGACACATTTGTTCCACAAAAGCTTTCCTGCATTAGCTTCTGAGAGGAATGTCTTGTTGTGGGTGTTCTTTAAAGTTAATCTATTTCTGAAACACCAAAAACTCCAATAAGTGGACTGATGATTAAATTCTCCACTGGAATAAGTCAGCAGTATTGCGGTTGAAATCACTTTCTTTTTTTTCTTATCTAAAGCGTCTGTCTTTGCAGACTCTTATTGGCATAACAGTTGAGGTAGAATAGCATCGCCTCAGCCTGAAAGTGGCCCTATACTTTCATTAATTGACATCAGACAAAGTAATCTGATGAATACAAAGTGCCCTTAGACTAGACACCCACTCATTCCCCTGCCACATACACACATACACTTATACACACAGAGCAGATGTTTCACGTAATGGGAGCACAACAGGAAGAGAATTCAATTCAATTTGGCCTCAGGTCTAATAGGACATCAAGTGAAAGAGGAAGGCGATAGGGTTTCACACTGGAAGCCCATCTGTGTCCATGCTCCCCTTCGAACCCACCCACCCTGTGATGTTGTTAGACTGAAATGAGACAAGAGCACCCTGATGCATCGTAGAATGTAATTACCTTCTCAAATGACACCATAAGGCCTCAGGGGTTGAGAGAAAGGGGCAAAGATTTGTTTTGTTTGATGGCATTCAATGCATGTATTGTCATTTTACAGTTTCATTGCATTTGAAATGGATTAGGAGACTCCTGGGCGGTAGTGTGACCTTCAGGTGCAACATCAAAGCATCTGAGTCATTGTTGGTTCCCAGTTCCCATGAGGTTGACCATTGTACTTTTGGCACAGTATACTCACTGTATTTTATTCCAGCAACATTCAAAATCTTAACTTAAAGGCAACTAACCTCAGTCCACAAATGGATGACAGACTACACCCTATTTATGGACATCTTATGCAACATGCAATGAAAATCATGTGCTTCTGTTGTAATGCTTGATATGCATGCTAACCTTAACCCATAATAAGTAAGTAAGTAAAGTTTATTTAATATGGCACCTTTCACAGAGCAAGGACAGAGCAAGGATTTACATGAGTAAATTTTAAAATTAGACCATAAAACAGTAAAGAAACAACAATAAACATAAGCAACAACAGACCTTAAAAACACACAAGATTACACACATAGACAGTCGGAGGTGAGACAAAGGCCAGTTTGAATAAAATAATCTTCAGCTTCACAGTGTGGGAGCTACCACTTAAAAGACACAATTACTTATTAGTGCAAGGAACAACCAGTAAACAGTGGTCAGAAGACCAAAGTGACCTACTGGTGATTTAGGTTGGAGCAGGTTGGAGATGTATCCATGTGCCTGACCTGCAGGGCTCTATACGAAAAGAAGAACCTTGAAATGAATCCCGATCCTGATGGGAAGCCAGTGTAAAGACGACAGAATGGGTGAGATGTGAGTTGTCCGGTTGGAACTGGTCAACAGCCTCGCAGCAGCGTTTGGACCCATTTGTAGATTGCCAGGGATCTGAGTCTTGCAATGTTTCTTAAATGGAAGAAACACTCACATTTTGGTAGAAGATTGGGAAATCAATGTTTTTTCAACAGATGAAGGGATGATGGAACTTTTCTCCTTAGAGATGGTGGGCCAAAATAAGTCAAAACATATTTAAACTTTAATTTTGAAAAGAAGTGCATGGGGAAATAAATAAACAACAATAAAAATATAAAGTATAAGTTAATTTATTGAGTATTTTACCCATATCCGGGGGTAATTGTGCACACTACTAAAATGCGACTCCTAAATCATTTTCTCTCTGCTCCTGCTGCACCCTGTTTCAGTTGATCCAACATTATATTGCACATCACTGATGATAACATACTATGTGACCGTTTGTGTTATTGGCTTGCACACGCTCAGATATTGCCAGCAAGCTGTTTGGAGTAACAGCTTTACCTCAAGTTCCCTGATGTGGCCCTCCAGCCTCCCCGTGTTTAAACGAACAGATGCAGGACAGAGAAGCAGTCAACAGTACCAAGTCAGAAGCAAACTGCTTTAAAAACTAAATTACCATTAAAAACAGCAGCATGCTGGAATGGACTGGGAATGGACTTTGTTTTGGGCTGCTTGGCCAGCAGCAGGTGCTTTTGTAATACATCGAGACACATTCTTTAAAGAGCCTTGCTCAAGGACACCTCAACAGTAGTTTTTCCGAGGCAGAGGAGGATGTTTCACATTCAAAGTCAAAGTCCCAACAGGTCTGGGGAGTCAAGGTTTCTCTGAGCTCTAGGCTACTGCTGCTTTAAGACATAGTGAGATGGATCAAGAAATGTGGTCTGTAATGCTGTTCAAATATCTACTTACTTCTTAAACACAGCAGTAAAATAATATAGGGCTTTAAACGTTCCAGGGGGAAAATACACCTCTTTGATTTTAACATTGGCAGGCATACTAGGTATATATCCATATACTGTATGTGAGGTCCATATTCTGTCCTTTCCTGAGGTTAGGTTTGGTTGTAGAGCCTCACAGTTTTCTAAAGTTGTCATGTGGCTGGTAGAATATACAGTAACAGTGGGACATTTAAGTGGTGGCTCTGTGTTTGGACCCAGGAGAACAAAGCAGATGGCGCTCTGGTAGAGGAGCCCTAAAGGACGTTTGCGGATTGTTGTGCATATTTGTCTCTTTTAATGTTTATCAAGGCAAGCAGCTCTTTTTCTTTTTAGAAACACACACACCAACACACACATACATTCCTGTGAGGTACAGAGCTTTTGGTTGATAAAGACTAGACTGCCTCTAAGTAGCTTCTCTCATCATTATAGTTCCTTCAGCCTTCTCTATGGCTATGACTGCTCATTTGTAAGTGTGGGATGTTTCTTCGGCTGTGGCTTCATCTTTTGTTACCCCTACTGTTTGCGATTCAGTTTATGGGGCCCACACACACACACGTATCCCACTCTCTTTTATTATGGGAATTCCAGGCACATGTGAGTGAGGCAGGGAGGCAGTCCAGATACCCCTCCCCCTCTAGCCGGTAACCCCTCATTCTCATGGATTTCTCATGGGGCTAAAGCAGACGAAATGGGGGAGGAGGAGAGGGAGGAGGAGAAGGGAAGGAGAGCTAGGCTAATTCATCAATAATCTTTACCTAATCCCTCCCTCTCCCCTTCTCCTTCTCACTCTCTTACTCTCTCTCTGCCTGGAGGCATTCAAGCAATACATCCATCCCCCGCCCTCACACACAAACACACACACACACACACACACACACACACACACACACACACACACACACACACACACACTCACTCCCAAGCCCTTATACACACAATGGCATGCACACACATAAGAGTCTGCCTGAACACGTCCAGAGGGAGAGGATGAATCGAGCTGTAGTGTTATTTCTTTCGCCTCCGTGTGTGTCTGTGTGTGTGGTGTAAGTCAAGTCCTCTGAGATCTGTGTGTCTTAGCTCTGACCGGGAGCTAAAATGGTGATTATAGACTAGAGACTAGGTGTGGCAAGATGGGGCGGCGTCAGAGGCTTTGTCTATAGTTCCCGTAAAGCCCACCAACCAGGAGGAGGCTCTGCCTGTCTGTCAGAGTCTGTCCTGGAGCCATGCACAGTCTAGGATTGAAAGAGCTGCTGCGTGGGGCTGAACCGCTCTTAAACCAAGACTTCAACCACGGGGAATTAGACAAGCACAAGTTCAAGAAGCTCGGTGGAACCTTTGTAGCCAGCAACAAGAACATGGCCAAGTGAAGAACTGCTGGAGCATATTGCTGTTTTCTTTTTTCACTTGTTTATTCTTCTTTTGTAACCCGTGACAAAGATTTTCTAAAGAGAAACCAAAAAAAGAAATACTTTTCTGGAGTTCCTGCTGAGTAACAAAACCTTGTGAAGAAGCTTTCCTTTCAAAAACATCCTCTTGATTTTTTTTACAGATTTAAAGGATGCGATTTAAATGATAAAACCATTTGGAATATGGGACTTTTAATCTGTGATTTGGACCATGGGGACAGGCAACTATGTTCTTGTGCTCAATTCTGGATAATTTTGATAAGTATGTCACATTTATTCTGTTTGTTCTACGATGATTCTGCCCTACTTTGATTTCACTGTAGTAACTTAGGTGTTAAGCTATGTTGCCTTGTTTTTCTCAACAAGTGCAGTGCAGTAAGTTGGATAAAATGTATACACTACTCAAATACAAACAGAAGTTTCTGATTTTATTCTGAAACTTAGGGTTACCCGATGTCACTAGTGAGTTTGTATCTTTGTCAATTTTTTATAAAGATCTGAAAGAGTTTTGTGTGTGTTCTAGTTCAGCTGTTGAAAAGCCAAACACTGATTGAGTGTGGTGATAAAGATCACGTGCCTTGCACCTTGACAATGTGAACAACATGTTTCACTGGTTAGCTTGTGTTCTGGACGCTTGACATGTTTTGTCCAATTATCATCTGATTAGCGTGTGTTGACCTTCTCCACTCTTCCTCTCTATGGCTGACTGAGTAGAGCAGACCTCTGTGATTTCCTGCTTATACCTCATTCATTGTTTTTACATTACTGACCCCTACTCTTTGTATCTCTTCATCCGAAATTGCAACTCCTATTGGCTTAACTTTACCTTAACTTTCTTAAATATTTCTGTTAATAAAAGATGAGTTGTATTTAAAGGTTTAACCTTTCTCTACTCCTTCCTATCTTCACAGCTCTTGCAGGTAAAATCTCTCCAACAAGCTCAGATGCCCTCCTCAGTTCCTCAGCAGTAACAGCCAGTCCTTCACCACCCAATGTGTACCTTCCCGCCAACTTCAAAATGTCCAATGCACAGCTTGCTTTCTTTTTGCGGGAGGCTCAGAACACAGGACAACCAGTTGGCGGCAGCAGTAAGAGCGGTAGTAGCCCCAGCACTGGACACCCGCTGCAGCGCTCTGAAAGTTTTGTGGTTTTTCAGACAAAAGACCTCCCTGCCATCAACATAAGCTTTGGACCTTTTGCCCGGGACCAGGCCCTGTCCAAGGAGTTGCTCCAGCCAGCTAGTCCACTGGATATTCCTGGCCAGCTGACAGTCAACTGGAAGGTGCGGGCCTTCATTGTTCAGGCGAGGGTCTTCTCCAACAACCCCACAGTCCAGGTGTTTTTCTACATCGCTGGCCGCGACTGGGATGACTTCAAGGCTCAGGACAAGCTGCCCTGCGTCCGTCTGCATGCCTTCCGGGATGTCCGTGAAATTAAAACCTCCTGCCGCATGAAAGGCAACCTGGCACAGTGCTTGGCCCAGCTGGAGCTGCCTCCGTCCTGGTTTAACACCAATGTCGCCCCACTGGGTCGGAGGAAAGGCTCCAGTGACGGGCTTTTGGATGGGTTAACCAGTGAGACCCTCCAGGCTGAGCTCTACTATACACTCCATGGGCCTAATCTGGATGGTGAGTGCAGTGAGGGCTCAGGTCATAGGGGTGGTGGTGTTTCCAGGGGAGAACCTCTGTCACAGCACCCCCTACTGCGCATTGGGAGCATCAGCCTGTACCAGGCCAGCCAAGAGCAGCTGCTGGTGGACAAGCAGTTAGACAAGAACATGTTCCTCAGGCTGCCTGAGAAGCCCCTGAAGCCTGGGGAAACCCTCAGAATCTTCCTCTACTTGATGCCCAACTCCTCTGTTGAACAGTTCACTCTCAAGTAAGTCTCCTTTAAAAAGTATACTTATGCCGCACTCTGTGTGTTCTGATTGCTTCCAAATTCATTCAGTTTCCATCCTGTCACATTTAATGTATATTTACACATTTACCTTTCGGAAAAAACATGATCAAGTTGTTTACATGCACAGGAGAATCTCATTCTGTTAAATTTCCTGTTTCCAAGCAGTCATATACACAAGAATTATCGATAAATAGATTATTTGCATGCTTCCTGGTAAACCACAGCCAACATGAGTCATTTCTATCCTGTCAAAAACTGCAGTCTTATATCTTCCTTTATAATTATGCTCATGCATAATCATCTATTTTGTCCAAGGTTTAGGCTTAAGGCAATAAGACTGCATGTAAACAAAGCTATGCAGTGTGAATGCTGAATCTTGTGAAGCCCCAGTGGACAGGCTTGTAAGAAATATAGGATTTACATGTCCAGATAGCCCTCCATTTGGAACAATTATCACGGCACTGGATGTCTTAATTACGGTTTTGACAATCAGCCTCATTCAAAGCAGAATAATTAGATAGGTTAAGGTTTTACATAACCTCAAAATTAATTGCAGCATTTTGTGATGGCGTAAGATCATGGTGTGTATGCAAGTGTAGTCAATGTTATGTAATTCCAATCCACACAATATTCTCTGTCTTGGGCTTTCCAGCACATGAGTTGCAATGCCATGTGTGTTCATTAAAGGTCTAAAGAGCCAAATGAGCACTTTATGCCATATTTCATCCTTCTGATTAATTCCCTCTTCACTGGGCCAAGTGATGTGCCAGCAGTAATTTAATTCAGGTAAGATAAAGAGAAGAAGACAGGGTTAAAGTGTAGCAGCACTGTACAGTTCACCTTTTCAAGTGGTGGCTCAACATCCAGAGATTTTTCTCTCAGGACAGGATTGTATGAATAATGTGCTGTGAACAGGTGCTCAAAGCAGTTTGTGTATAAACGGCCTGTGCTGTTTGACCAGGTAATAGTTTTGGATTACGCATAGAAATGCCTTGCTACACTACACTGTGGTATTTCAAGCTCATGCAGTATTACTATAGAAGACAACAACCTGAATCCATGATGTGGGCAACAATGTTATCTTTATTATAAATATCTTTATTTGGGGCTCATTATCGCATAGCATAAACATTAACTGTTATTGACAGCAACATTTTTATATTCTGACATTAGAACTGTGTCTCAGAAGGACCACAATGGTTGCTGAAGTGAATATTTGCCAGTGTTAAATTTCGTTTGACTCTGCCTATGGAAATGGGGCAAAGGGAGCATGAGGTTCTGCTTGGATCTCCAGTCTCTGCACTTCTTTCCTCTACACGGTTGTCAACACAATATTCAGGGTTAGAGAATAAATGATTATTTGGACTTGACAAAGCTTGAGGACGGAACGTTTTTCTATGCTTGTAGGCGTGAAGACAGCGAGAAGAGAAGTGTGAGGAACCCAATGTTACCAACTTACTCAGGAATGATGATGAAACACACTGTAAATATGATTGTTGCGTACTTAACTTTAGAGATTTGTAGGGTATTAATTAAGCCTCAATAACTCATTAAGCAAAAACATGGTAGCACCTGTAATTTTAATCAATATTATTCAGAAATATTTGTTTGTCTTTAAAAACCTCAACAGTTGATTGACATGACACCTCCACAGCAATAACGTCCTAATACAGCAACCTTTTAACACTAAGTACTATTCACTAAACACTAAATAATTATTCTTCATCACCCATTGACAAAGCCTTGACAACAACCTCATAACAGTTAATTGATGCACTTGTTAATATATATGCTGTTGTATCTTAACATCAGCACTGATTAGGTTTAATTGTATAGACTCTACCTCTCACCACAGCAGTTTACCAATTCAGTGAAATTCTATTTTATTTATATCATGCTAATTCATAACAACTCTTTGTAATGTTATTAACATAGACCCAGCAGTTTCCTACCGTGAGCAAGCACTTTGCAACACAGGCAGGAAAAAAAAAAACCTTTTAGCAAGTAGAAGACAGAACTGTGACTAAGTAAAGGTAGTTGTACAGACAGAAAATAAAAGTACTAGTAATGATATCAATATTAATGATAAAAATAATTGTCATAGTAACAAATTGTAGCACGTAGCAATGGATGTCAAGCAGAAACATGGGGGCAACAGTCGTCCAACAAACGCAGATCCAGACCCCACAGCTCCAGAGCCAGAAACACCTGCAGAAAGTGACAGAAGGGGAGATGAGAGGGACGACAAAGCACAAAACTACAAGACAGGGAAAAGTAGAGTTAGTAACATGCATTAATGGGAAAAGAATGCAAACAGATAGACCTAAAAACACTAAGACAGCAAAACCGTTTTTGTGTTACTTACCTTTCCACTTGAAAGATTATGTAAGAGTTCCTCCTAATTAAACTTCATATCCTTAGGGAAATTATAGTAGCTTACAAAGAATAATGCCAAAACATAGAAGCAACTTCTGGACATTTGCCTTGAAATGTCATTGCTGTCCTCTGGTGATCATAGTTGGATTGCAGAAATAGTGGTGAAACCTGCCCTGTGTGACCCTACAAACATGGCTCTATACAGACTAATCATTTGATATGAAACACTGATTAGTATTTTAAAATTAAAAATAGAATAATTTACCGACTTCTTGGTACAAAGTGTGTTTGTGTAATTTCATGAATAATCAACAAAATGAAGCAGACTTCTTGACTGTAGAGTGATATGAATACATTTCAAACAGCACCCTGTTATTTTCAAATAAAATCGGCCAATTTCTCACAAGTTGATGCCATTTTTTAACCCTGCATTTATTTAATATGTGAAGGATGGTCAATCCAGGGATACTAGCATGTTTTCATCATATCAGCAGGAGCCAGAGGGTAGCTGAAATGAATTTATGAATTTATGCTTTGGATTTGGTTTTTGTGTGTATATTTACATATATTGTCACAGACCTCCTTCCTGTAGCCGGACTAGAGTGCTAACCATTCATTATCAAATTCCCAACCCCCAGGAAACGCAAGCATTTGTCTTCAGACTTTCAGAGTAACATTTACACTCCTTAAGACCTCCTCTGTAAAATGTATGAACTAGTGTCAGTCATAATATTCTGTTCTCACAAAGTCTTCCATAACCCACAGTCTGTGCTTGACAGTGTTTCATCTGAAATCTAGATTAGAGAATAGTTTCATTAAATCAGAGAAAAGGGTGGATGTGGGAATCTGTCAGTCAGGGCGTGGTGTGACAAAGTTACAGCAAGGCTTTGTAGTACAAGAGGAAGGCTTTGTCATATCCCCTGCCTCTTGAAACATTTAGCTGACCATGTTAGCATCCATACACTGCTGCAATTCTTAGGCAGGCTGCCTCTTTGAGCCTCTCGCAGGAATGGAAATGAGGAGTGATAAAACAAGAGAGTTAAAAAAGAGATCGGGCAGGGAGAAGAAAGCCCAGTGTGAGCCTCCTGAGTGACTCAACTCAATAGAGTGTGAATTGAATAGTTCTGGAAGCAAACTGTCAAGTCGTCCCTGCGCATCGAGGAAGATGATTAAAGATGCAATAAGGAGTATCTTTAAAGATGAATCAGAAGGCCTCCTCTTCATCCTCCTCTGACTCCCCCTTTGCCTCTGTCATTCCTTCCAATTTTCTTTCTTTTCAGTCGTCCAGCTTTGAAGATCTGTGTTATTGCAGATGATGGCATGCCAGGCAGGCAAAAGGGCAAAGTCTCGCCACTTGTGGAATCTGCCCTAGTTTTCCTGTGGCCACAGCAGCGCTGTCAGAAACATGCGGTGTGTGGGCCTACATGAGTATGTCCTGCAGTAGAATAGGGAGTAGTGGTGTGTCAAATCTGGTTACCATGGCAATACAGTAATAATGTGCGTTGTTGTATTTAATGTTATCTAGCATGCTCTGCTTGTCCTGATGCAGAAGGCATGTCTTTTGCAGTGTAAAAAAGATTTTTTTTAAATATTATACTGTATTCTATAACAGTCACTCCATCAATCACAAAGTACAGAAAAAAAGTATTGTGTGCCACAGAAAAAATATTAGAGAATTGCAATTTCAACAGAGAATTCAATGTCACAACATAAGATAACCTAATTTAATGAAAAGGGATTTCTGTGTTGTGTTGTGCTAAAAAAAAAATGACATTTACTTCTGAGCACCAAACCTAACAGCAAAATACCTGGGATCTCACAGGGTGTTTGTTTTTTTACCCGCTCATCTTCACAGTGGCTGGAGACGCTCAGGGAATTCTGTTATTAAAATCCTCTTTAGACACTCATTCACTTGCGGTTTTGTTAAACTTCAGTAATCTGTTTTTTTGTAATTGCTCAAATGACTACATAGAATGTGAAAGGCTCCCATAGTAATGAACCCACAGATAATCTATCTGGCAGGCAGATAGTTGGCAAGTAGCAGGTTAGATTAGATTAGATTATTTTATTAGCCAGTTTAAGCAAACAACAAATAGACAATATACTTCAACATGTAACAATACAAAATGCAGTGGGTAAATGGTGCTACGTTTGCACCTCTTGTCCAAACTAAAACAGCGAAAACGAAGTCTTAAAACAGAGAAGTTTGAAAATGCTGCTGACCCGGTTTTTCGTTTTAAAACTCCGGGTAGCGTTTTAGTGTGGACAGGCAAAAACAGAGGACTTTAGAAATGCAGACGCTGACATTTGGCTCTCTTATAAGTCATGCAAAGCAGAAACACAATGCTACTTTTTATTAATATATTTTTACTGTGCAAATAACACTTATAGCCAACACTTGTACTGTGCATGTCGCCGTTTAATTTGGGACGACTTCCAGTCTGTTTTCTACCGCCACAGCTGCTTTTAAATCCCGTGTAATTCAGTAGCGCTTGTTATTGCTCCAAGCAAAAAATATTTGGAAAAAATCTAAAATCTGTGATTTTTCATCTGCATAACTTTATGCTTTCGCCAAATCTTCTGTAACTCTGGAAATAGACCAT